AGTAACCCCTGTGTGTTTCTTTTTTTGAAATCTTGGGTTTCTATGATGTCAGTGAGAGGAGATGTCCCTAATATGGTCATCTCAGAAGAGGGGCAATCACATGAAAACGCCCCCCTCCAGTATAAGTTAATAAGGATTATTTTGAATTGTGACTCACGTGAAGCTAATCTAGCAGCAGAATAGATCCCTTTAACTAACACCCAGCTGCAGATTAAATGAGACCTGACTGCCCACTCGTAAACACGGCCCTGTTCTGAAGACCAGACAAGGCAGGTGCTGTAATCTGGTGCTTGCTGGGTTTTTTGGTGTGCTCAGCAGGTGTATTAGCAAATACAGCCGCTTCATCCTTTCTGATTGGCCTAAAAAGAGTTCAAGTAAATGCTGTTGATCTTCCAGCTCTGCAGAAGTGCAGAGCTGAAAGATCAACAGATGGAGGATTATTTGCAGCTAAGCTGAGCTCTGAGAGAAGGAGCTCTCAAAACACACACACAAGCGCTGGGTTTCACTGACCTATAGTGACACGAGAGTGATGGTGGATTCACTCTTCAGGAAGTGAGGCCTATTTAAGCCCTCTGTGTTCAGTTCTGTTCCCATAATAGAATTCCAAGCAGTGTAACACATACAGCATCAGAGCACCAACCTGACCCAGTTCTGTTTTTTACTTAGTCACTGGATCATGTGCTGATAGAACAGGGTGCCAATTTTAATGTACACGAGTGAACTACTGTGTTGTGTGTGAGGTTGGTAGATATTAGCCAGCACATCTTCATGTCTGTGTGCTTTTCACATAAAAATAAAAAACAAAACGGGGACTTTTAGTCTTACCTTGTTAATGTGGAACCAAAGAACAAAAACAACAGCAAAGCTTTTTAAGATGAGTAACAAACTACTGCAAGGTAGGACTTGTCATGGGCCAATCTGACTGCGCACACACACACACACACACTCCTCCATATTAAATAGGCAGAGTGTGTGGAGGCGTGAGCTGGGCACGCTGCCCCAGGAATGTGCTCCATCCCTGCTGTCTGTCAAACTGCACACACACACACATCTCTTGGCTTTGCACGCAGGGGCACGCCGCAATGCATCTCAAGCCACGCGCGCACACGTGCTCAAAACAGAAGTGCATGCAGGCTTAAACTCGTATCCCCCGGGAACGTGTTTTTCACAATAAAATGATAATCATGGTGTGAAGAAGGTGGCATGATGGGAAATTCTTTAGCACGGGTGAAACAGTTAAGGAAGCTCACAGCCAACCGCAAGCACATCGAACCAGTTTCATTTCCTCCTCTTTGACGCTGTTTCGGGCTGCTGAACCGTCGCTGACAGTCAAGTTACTCGCTGACAGGCATGAGATAAACCTGCCAGATCTTTGCTCAAATATTCCACATTTTTATAAAGGGAATTATCAAAAAGCCTGGGATAGTACACGCCAACACACAGGGTGGCACGCGATCAAAAGTGCAGCAGTACTAATGAGCTGCAGTGCAACACAGCTTCAGCACAAATGTGCTGCAACCAAATCCTCTTATGGACTTCAAAATGTAGCCTGAGAGAGAGAGAGAGAATGAACTGGTCTTGCAATTTCTTTCTTTCTTTCTTTTTGGATTAAAGTGCAATGAAAGATCAGGGATTTGGCTATCAATGAACAAGGTCTTTCATTCAGCTTTTTTTTTCTCTTCTTTTTCCTTTTTCATGCTGCGTGGTGAGTTTTGCAAGAAGAAGAAGAAGGAGAGAGATGGACATAAATCAATCCGACATTCTTGATGTCCACTCGTCCATGTACACATGGGCCACCGGAACGACCCACCGATGCTCAAACCTGCCCGGTTTATTTCTTCAAGAAGACATTTTTACTGACATCTGAGCCAAAAAACTGCAAAGTTGTGACACTCTGTACAGTCTTGGGTACTTCCTACTGTCCAGACGGACAATTAAACCTAAAAAGCTGCCAGATATGTTGTGAAAGAACAAAATGCTGAATCATTATAAGTTTAAATAAGCGCAAAAGACCTTTTCTTGTATGAAACTTCTGCTGCACTGCAGTTGACTCTCAAACACATCATTTGCAGGATATAACACGTATTCAAAAGGCAACATTCGTAAATTTCCATCTTAAACAGCGAAAATCTGTTATTAACAGATTAATCACTTCTTCATACAGTCTCTAACTTATCCAAAAATAATGAAAAATCTGTAATTTAATGCCTTAAAAGGGAAGCATTCCACATGTTGCTTTTCTGGACTCTACTAGAGCCGCTTTGCAAGATTCACTTCATGCACAGGATGAAAGAAGTCCCCTCTCCCTTTAACCCAGCTTGTCTTCTGATTGGCTGGCCTTTGCAAACAGCAGGTCTGGACAGGAGGTTGGACTCACAGCCAGAGCTGTGTGCCTCAGATGACTAGATTATTAACATCAGAGTTGCTGCAACTTTCAGAATGGACGAGTATGAAATGCAGGTGTGCATGAGAGATCAGTGTAAGATGTGGGCCTGTGAGTCTCAGTTATGAAGTTTTCTGATTGAAAATGACAGCAAAGTTGTGTTAAATTCAGCATACTACGGTGCACCTCTTTGTAGGAGGACATGATCCTCTCGATGGCATCAGCTCCTGAGGCCAAGAGGTTACGTGCGGTGGTGAACGCCTCTGTTCTCTCGCTCACCATCACCTGGGTCTGACCGTCAGCTGTTTCTATAAGGGTGGAAAGACAGGCACAAGACATGGGACAGCGAGCAGAACAATTAACTTCGGGACCTCAAAAGACAAAACAGAGCTTTGTGTGTCAGCGGTGCGAAACATGTTTTCACACTTTCACCTGGGAGCATAAGGATACGATGGAAAAAGGTTCATTAAATATCTGTAGGTACAGTGTAATAAGGGACCCGGTTACAGGCTTATTATTGATGCTGAGAGCTCATCAGGGAGGTGTGGGAGGCAGCTACTGTTTTCACACATGCTAATCAGCTCCCGCTGGTAGAGCAAGCAGTAACTACAGTTATTATAGTTGCACTTAAAAGGCTTAACAAGCACAAGACTCGTGCTAGGGTAACGCTACACCTAACCAACTCCCTACCGCTGTCAGCGAAGCCGGTGGCTGTGATGATGGGCACGGCCACCATGACGAGCCCGGCGCCGCTCCACACGTACTTCATGAGGAACTGCTCGATCATGATGTACCAGAGCCGTTTGGACAGGATCAGGTTCATCTGGTCTGCCAGAGCCCGGTAGCACTTCTGCAGCTGACACATCTCCACCTGCAGCGGGCGGTACATCAGAACATGAAGCAACACAGGCATTTCCCAACTCTCTGTGTGATCTGTGAAAAAGGCCGTGCAGTAGAATTTCTTCAAGATAATAGTAAAGTCTTTCACACTGATGCTCTTTCAGAATAAAAATAGCTTTAGTCAATAAAGTTAAAACTAACTCTGCTGCTAATCTTTGTGCCGGCTCTTATAGCATAATTGTGATCCTAACAGCCTCAAGCAGCAGTAGATGGAACATTGTTATGGATATGACCATTCATCTTAGCTGGCCATCCTCAAAGACCTACCTCTAAAGTTACCGCTTCACCCATAGTAATTACATTGGTGTCTACAGATTGTAAATGTGTTATGCATTTCACACGTAACGTGGCACATCCGGGCACAGACACTTCCTAATAAATAAACACAATAATGATCGTGTGGCTGCACATAACTCCCACACCGCTTCCATTCTGCAGCTAGCACTCACATGCCCACATCCGTCTCTGCATACCTTGTGTCCTCTGTAGAAAGCTATTTCCTCAGCATTAGCAATGATCCTAGAGTGCACATAGCGCAGGTAGCCCTTCCTGTGAGCCTCTTCGGCCACCAGCTTGCCAAATTTGGGCGAGCATGCACGCAGGACTTTAGCCGTGGCAAATACCACGAGCCCTGCCAGCAGGGTCGGACCGGAGGCGTTGGCCCCCCTGGACCTGGCGGTCTGAATCAACGTGTAGGAGGTCAGCATCACATCCAGTATAGGCTTGGTGAGGTTAGAATAGAGATGTGCCACGGACTGGGAGAACATCATCACGTCCTCGGTGAGAGACTGGTCCGGATTGGCGAGCCTCCCGTCCATGTTGCTGACTTTGTAGTAGGTCTGATTGGTGAAGTAGGTCCGATAGGCATGGTTCACTAGCCGGGTGCGGAAGGCCAGAGCCAGTTTGCACTCCAGGTACCGGATGGCGCTGTTGACGAACGTGGCCGGGATTGCAATGAGGAGCCATTTGATCAGCTGGATGATGAAGCGTTTGGGTTTTTTCTCCACGATCGTTTTGACTATCTTGCCGTCCAAGCTGGCAACGTAAATAGAGAGAAACGTCCTAGATATCAGCGCCACCGAGTGCAAAGAGAGCAAAGCGAGCTCTCTGGAAACGAGCTTGGGAAAGAGGATTTTACCAAGTTCCAGGATCTGCTTGAAAAACTCAGCATTTACCCCCGGGGATTGTTTCCTATCAATCACAGCATCCGTTTGAGTCTTTCCCGAGCAAGTGGAGCCGTTCTCCGCCTTTGAAGCCCGGTGATTGCTCCCCGGACCTTTGTTTTTGCAGAGCTGCTTGCAGATGATGGGGTACAGCGTTCTGACACCGTATGCAGCAGCCGCAAGAAACACGGCTCGCTTCGCCGCGGCCGTGCGGTCCCATCTCACTTTAGACGCCGCATCGAGGATGTTGGACATTTTTCAACCGTTAGTCGTCTCTGCAACCAGCCCTTACTACACCCATCCCCCAGACCTGACTCACCGCGTCGACATAAAGAGCGAGAGGGAGTTCTGATGGCCGGACTGATGTGAAGCGAGCCCGATACTTGTGCCGCTACATCCTGCTCCCCTTTTTTGCGCCAGCTACAAGCACTCCAAACTAGAACAAGTGCACTTCCGGTTATTGTTGCCAAATTAAAGGCGTCCCTACCTCCACCACACAAACGTGTCTGTGTTAGCTTTTATTTTATAAAGAAAATCAGCCCAACATCCGGTTTTGCTGTCGTCACTGGCGACTTAGTTTGCAAAGGGGTTTTTTCATTGGTCGAGCCCCCGGCAAAAATATGATTGGTTGTCTGACAGACGTAAATAAATTAGTCCCAACTGATTTATTCTACTATACTACAGTATTTTATTTTAAGCAAACGTAAGGCACAGTGAAACAAAATACAGAAATAAAGCAAACAAACTCCATGAAAATTACACATATATATTTTCTTCTTTGGGCATTTCTGAGCATGTGTCGGAAGTCTGGTGGTTCGTCCTCGTGCTTCTATTGTATTCTGAAAGCTAAGATAAAGTTAGCTACCTAGCTGAAACAAAACAATAAGCTACGCATGCACTCTGAATTTCTGTGCTGACACAGGCACAAAAGCTTGATCTTTGTAGTTTTCTGGATTTTGTCGTTTCTATAGTAATTAAGAGCTGTTAAAAATGAACTGGGTTGGAGGTTCAAGGTAAGAAAAAGCAAATTTTGGTTATTAGCTGACGTGTTAATGTATATCATATTAGCCTATAAATGTTTAAGCTAACTAGACATGTAACTGCTCATTTCAGAAACCGGTTAGTGATGAGGAATAATGCCAAAAAGCAGAGGGTAAGACAACCAAATAAAACATACATTATTTTACATTAAGTGCAGGACCCCAAAATGCAAGTAGGATGCTAAATATTAAATGTTTAATTGTATACTCCATAAAATATTGTGTCCAGAAGAAAACTTGCTTTAAAGGGATGCATTTCTAACCAGGGTTGTTTTACAAAATGGAAAGAATTGTTTTGACTTTTAATTTTGAGTATAAGTTAAATTCTTACATAAGGAGGTCAATAGTGCACAGGTTGCATATTGAAAATATATTTAAAGTAGTGGAATAAGACTTTTAACAACAATAATAATAATAAATTTTATGTAAAAGCCATGTTCAAGACATCTAAGTAGAACAATGACAAAACGAAGATCGATTGATCTATCTATCTATCTATCTATCTATCTATCTATCTATCTATCTATCTATCTATCTATCTATCTATCTATATGTGTGTGTGTGTGTGTGTGTGTGTGTATACATGGTTTATAATGTGTGTAGCTTTGTACTTGTTCACAACTTTAATTACTTATTTGTTGTTTGGTATTTTTAGTAGAAGGCCATTAGCCATTTGAAAAGCCCAGACATGGGCTATTTGAAGTTTAATTGATGTGAAGTCTTAAAACTCAACAATACCCCAAAATAATTCATTAATAATCACTAGCCCAAATTGCTGCCTTTGTTTTTCACAAACATTTTATTTATTTTTCATGTAATAAACATTAAAATCTATATCCTTGTGTAATGATAATTCATTAAATAAATAACAATCACTAATGTTCAAGCTTGATGTTTTTTCATTGTAACCAGTTTTGTAAATGTATTAAATTAACAAAGCCTTTGTCCCTGTGCCTAAATATTGGTTGTGCTTTTTCTGTTCCAGGAATTCTTTGAAAAGAGAAAAATGCAACAAAAACTTAAAAACATGGGAATACCTGTCCCAGCCCCTTCCCTAGGCAACACTAGTTCTGGTAGTTTGGACCTAATGACTCTGTTTATCGTCAACCAGATTGCTGCTAAAAAAACATGTAAAGGTGAGATTCACAGCCCCAGATCACCAGAAAACAATAATCGAATACATTTAAGCCTCAGGATGGCAAATGATGTAAACAGAAAGTGTTCTTGTTTTTCAGATCCTCCTAAAGCAGCAGTTCTTGGCAGCTGTAAGGCAGGAGCCAGGCATAAGAGAAAAGATCCTCTGGTGCTCCCGATGAGCCCCTGTTCCCCATCACGGCTGTGTCTTGTTGAGGGCCAGTCTAAGTACAGGTATAGCCCCACTGTGGGTTATCAGTTCTTGTAGCCAATTATGTTAATATAATAATAATAATCCTCTTAATAAATGGAATGAAAAGGGTTTTAAAAGTATTATATTTTCCATTTTAACAGTGTTCAAGAAAGCAGAGAAAGAAGGAAGGTAATTCCACAAGGGTTCAAGTTTCAGCGTGTAAGTCACTTTCCCGCTCTTCATGGTTTTACTTCAAGTTAGCAAAACGTGCTTAATATGAACAAATGTAAAGACACTCACTAAATCCCTGTTTTTGTAAGTTGTCGCCAGTACTTGAGTCAGGTTTCTCAGACAACAGTGCCTCTGACTACCTGCCAGCCATACCTGATGCCCGCAGCCCCTTCTCTTCCACCTCATCTGCCTGCTCAGGCCAAGGTTGTGTAACACTAATAGACTATTAACAACTATAACTCAGTTACAGTACTGCGTATTCTTCTTTGCATGATGATATCTTATGAAATCCAACTGTTCTCCACAGGAACTTTCACCCTGCAGCTGAATCTCCAGAAACAAAGCCAGGCACTGCATCCCTCTTCTCCCCCACCCTGGGACACCTCAGTTCTATCGCAGACCGATGCAGTAAGGGATAGCTCTTATTAGAATTACATCACTACTTTAAGGTTAAAGTTGTAGTTTTTACACATTTTACCCCACACGTGGTTTCACATGTAAGAAAGGAAAAGTATGGAAACTCTGACTTGAGTTGAGAAACTTATCTAAAGTTGGTGTGGAAAAATGGCTTATGTTGGTGTTGTTTAACAGGCCAACAAAGATTTTGGTAACTTCTCAGAACTCTGCTTTACAATAAATCATATTGTGCTTTAATTATAGAATGTGACATATGTCATGTGTGTCAAGGTCTTTCACAGTGAATGTAATCTTTTTTTTGTGTATTGATTTCATTCATGGGAATTAAAAACTGGTTATTTTGCCATGAGGCTGAGATACACGTTGAAGATGGTTTGCTTCAAGTAGAAGCTGCTGAAGTAACTAGATGAATGGGCCTGTTCCTGATAGTCTGGTGGTGAGGTGGTCCACTCAGGGTCACCAGCGTTTCGCCCGTTAACCTGTAAGACTTTAAATGAGTGGGGGATGGCCAACTTCGATGAAAATTGAAGCTGCATGCCATCCTTTTCGCATTGGCTTTCTTCAGATTGTGAGAAATGGATAGCCTGTCCCCCAGTGACCTCATCTACAAACATGGTTTTTGCACACCTACACAAGTGTAATCCCAGGTGCCTAATTATAAATACTTATTTATATTTATTAAGGCTATTCAGGCCTAAAATTCAGGCATTCTTGTTCAATACAAAAGCTGAAAACAACAAAGAAAAAGTAATGTAGCATTACTTTTGGTATTACTAAAGGTACCAGTATTTTATCACATCACTATAGTATTTTAGTTAGTAAAATTTATTTATATAGCACTTTTCACAGTTAAAAATCACAAAGTGCTTCACAATTAAACCAGAAATATAAATAAAATGAAAAAAATAAATAAATAAAATTAAAGCTTGTTTGTATAGAAATGTCTTCAGCTGCTTTTTAAAGGGGTCAAGTGTAAAGAGTGCCTTGGTGCCACTGCCCGAAAAGCCCGATCCCCACGTGTTTTGAACCCAGTACGTGGGACCAACAGTAACCTCTGACCTGAAGCGCTCAAGAAGAAGCATGAGGTTTCAACAGGTCAGAGATATACTGTGGAGCTTCAACATGTGGAGCTCTGAAAGTTACAACTAAAAGTTTAAAATGAAACCTAAAATTTGCCGGCAACAAAAACTGGAGTAGTATGTGACCTCTTGTTTTAGACCAGTTTATAGTCTTTGGACCAACAGCATCTCTTGCTAAGAGAAAATAGTTACAATCTAATAAAATGTGACAATAATGTGTCTTTCTTCTGACAAATGCTGATTTGTTTCTCTGTCAGTTTCATCCTTTCTCTCAGCCCAGAAGTATGACAAACACATCTCCCTGGTCGCACAACCTTAACCAACCCTTCTTCCAACTTGAGAACCCCACAGCATCTCAAGTCCTCTTTGGCAGTCCACAACCAGGGTGAAAACAAGTTTACATTTTAATTGGTAATTTTCTATCCTTAGTTTCAATTTTTTAACCAATCAGTGCCCGTGTGTGTTGCCACAGTAAAAGCAAGGCAGAAGACCATGCAACATATGTGGACAGCATCTTTCTCAACCGGCCAAAGGACAAAGAGTCCATGCTGGACTTCACGCTTAACCAGTCAGAAATTCAGCAGCAATCGGAGAACAATGTCTTTAGAGGCTTTTGTGATGAAGATTGTGAAGGACACTCTCATTCTGGGAGTGAAAAATCAAAAATATGTCTCCCAGATCAGACACCGGTAAACTCTTCTGCACCTCAGTAAGTGTTTGCACTTCCAGTCTAACGAAATGCATTATTATGGAGCAAATTTTGAATCCATTTTATGTTGGGTTTTATCATTTTATTGCCAGAACTGTGCCAGACTCACAGTGCATGGGAGCAGAGGTAAGCGGGTTTTAAAAACTACATGTGGGAGTAAAGTTGCCCTTTTACTGCCACCAAGTGGTCAAGTTTGGAACTGCGACGAAATTAACTTTAAATGTGTAGAAAGTAAATCATCACAAAGTTTAATGAGGCTCTCCAGTCATCATAAGCTGTCATATAGAGCTCCCAACAGTTTATGTTTAATATTTTTTATAACTGGATTATATACATGGGTACAGCAGAAGTGTCAAATATTGATTATGTTTTGTTCACAGCCCTGCAACTGCCCTGACACAAGGTTTTGTAAGTTTCCAAGGAGTCTCACGTTAAGGAAATTCATTTATTATGTACATGTTTGAGGAAAAACCAAAATGTAAATGGGTGTTTTTTTCCCCTCTAATTCAACAGCATGTTTTGGAGACAACACTGGGCCAGTGAATGGCTCTGAATATTCGCCAAGTTACTCTTTTAGAGGAGGTCACCTGAGTCCAGACTCAAATGATGTGAGTGAAGCTACACTGTGAACTTTATTCCAACTTTCTGAAGTGCTCTACTTTTCATCTAACCCCTCAAAACTGTAGCAAATTCATGCTGTATTTTTGTAGTACTGATGTTAATTAAGCTGTAGATTAACTATCAACACTCTGCCAGTTTCTGCAGCCTCCTTTTTTAATCAAACACAAATGAGTAAATTACTATTAAACAGATGATCATCACCTGTTTAAAAGCAACACTCATTAACAGCACAGTGTTCTTTGCACAGTGCCACTGATTTATACCTCTTTCCTGGACATATTTTCACACCATCTGACACAGGAATTGCTGTTTTCTACTTTTAAAACTATATATTAGGATGAAGACTGCTATCAGCTACGCCTCCCAGCATCTTCTTCTTACATGGATCAAGCCTTTGGCCTCAGTGGCTCACAAGGGAATTTAAATGAAACACTCTCTGAGCTCAGGTCTCACACCCCACGAATAAGATCCCAAATGGACTTCAGAGTTGACCCAAAAATTACTGAGAACATGGCTACCCCAGATAAGGCCTTTGAAAGTAAAGGGCAGGAGAAAGAAAGCAGCACAGCTCTCCTTTTATCTCCACACCCTTCAGCTCAAACTCAGAGCTCAGATGTCTGCAAATGCAAGAAAACATCAAGTGAAACTCGAGATGCAGGAACTCAAACAGTACGCAGCCCCCCAGCTGGGGCGTGCGATGCTTCGACTCAGTGCAGCTTTGTTGCAGACAGTGCTCTTGGGTACAGCTTGCATCTATCAAACGCTGACATGTCGGAGCTGCCTCCAGCCACAGGGAGGCAGGCCGGTACTGCCACAGAGCCAGATGCACTCACAGCTTCACCAGAAAACTCCAGGAGCGAAGAGAAGCAGACGCCCTGGAGCAACAAGAAATCAAAGGCGGTTTCCCTGTCAGGCAGGAGCATGATCACTGCTAATAACGGTGCCAAAACGATTCTACAGAGACCCACAAACCTTCTTCTCACTAACGACCTGAGCACGACTAATGTCAGAGGTATGACATGAAAGTGAAATAGTCAGCTCTCTTTATGTGTCGTTTGAGAGAAACTTGAGATAGAAAATCACATTAAATTTTGCTCTAATGTTTCTAATTTAGGTCAGGAGAATAAAGAGAACACGAGAACTGCCCTCCAATGACAAGCTTTTCAGATCAAGGGAGGGAAGAGGGCACATCTGGCACCAAAGTTAACATAGTCTCAAAGGAGGCTGAAATGCTTCAAGAAATAGCCAACATTTTGCTCCTCCTGAAGCAGAGGAAATTCAGGGCTACGAAGAACAGATGGATGAAGACATCAGGAAATCAGTTCTGTGCTGTGCATCTTCCTTTATTTTAAAGCAACAGTCATAAAAGTAGATTAAAATAGTTACAGTGCTCTTAATGTTGTGATGCAGTTTATGCAGTTAAATAAAGCTCCAAAACATGACTTTGATTCATACATTTATTTCTTTCCCCATATACACAATATTTCATGAAGATATTTATCTTTATATAATATAAACTCTAGCAAAACATTTACAGCTTGAACAATAATCAAATATACAGCACTTTTTTTTTAAATTTGCTTTTCTGTAATACCCCACAAACTTTAGCAAAAACACACATAATTGGTTCACATAGAAAAAAATGTAACCATTTTACTGATAAGTACCCATTTAATGCCCTCAGCTGTGGTAGAGGACAGTGTTAACCGGAGGTTAAGGGCTGAACACCACATTATCTCTGACACAGGTGCAGCCTAAAACAATCACATTAAATATTTGGTTGACACAAGTTTTCGTTACTCAGTCTGTGCCGTGGACAGGTAAATCTGTGGTTTTTGTGTGTAGTAATACTTTCAGTACAAAACTAGCTTGTGAAGTTTTAAGAAAACTCTCCTGGATTAAGTGAAACTGATCAAATACAATCCTATACTGAATTATAGTTGCTAGTGTTTTCTACACCTTTCACTCCAGAGAAGCTGCGCTAAATGAGTTGAAAAGCAAAGTTTTGGAAGTTTAAGTTATTACTCTGAACTATATTTCACAATGTTTTGTTTTTATTGAAATAAACAATCAGTTTATCTTCGAGGATCCCTTTATTACCGCTCTGGGTTAAAAAAGACAATATCTGGAATATTCTAGCCCCATAACTACAAATCACAAGTGTTTACAATAGAATAGCTTATCATTTTCAAACACAAGTTGAATATTTGACCGTGTTTTGTGCTGACTTCAATTCTTGATATGATTTTATTGTAGTCTGTACATGTTGATACTACTTTTTGTGTTTGCTTTGAAAAATGATCAGCTATTATAACACCGAAGAACTTGCAACTAAAGAGGCAACTATGATATTTGAAAGCTTTTTTTATTTTCAAAAAATCAGCTGGTTTTCCACATGAGGGTGCTTGTGTGCTACAGTATGCCATCACTGTTCTTCCATTTATTGAAGGAATTTGTTTCTAAGCAATTTTTTAAAACCTTTTTTCCCCATAGGTATCCACATGACACCTTGAAAACACCAAAATTACTACAATACTTGCAAATACCACCGAGTTTTAATGGATCACTTAGGTGTAATTGTCCCACGGCATTTGATGGTCTGTTTCTTGTTTTAAAAAGTGGTACTAGTCTATAAATAGACTAGATTTATAGATAATGGACTGTTGGGGAAAAAAAATTTAAATGGTAATTTTCTGCTAGCACATTATCCATTTTTTTACTGAGGTTTCTGGGTATTTCTATTAATGTGGGGTAAAAAGTATAGGTAGAAGAAATCATATGGAAAATTCCATCATTTTAAACGTTGCATTGTACTGTATTTTTACAATCGTTTATTTTGGGTGTCTGCCATGAGAAACCTGTTCACTAAGCACAGCAGTAGCCTTTATACCCCTTACTTACCCTTTTTTATTTTTTGTTACACAGTTGTCTACTTTCCAACAGTTTTGCTACACAGAAAATTACGTGTATTTAACTAACAAGGTGTAACCTTACACAGTTTACACTTTTACAAAACAACATTGCCAAATTACGCTAAAGCCTACTCCTCAACTTTTGACACAAGAACTACATAAATGATATGCTCGGCTATTTGTACATAAGGCTGTGAAGGAAGACACAAAGCAAAATACATGAAATTTTAGTCAATAAAATTCCATCACAGGTGAAATGCAAATATGCACATGTTAAAATTAAAAAAAGGCCATGTAGACCTACAGGAAATGTGACTGAAAAATGGCCATTAGGCACCTTCACAATACACAGGCACTAATATATCAATGTTCAGATAGAACGAAACACTTAAAAATCTCAGTCATCAAGCTAAAGCTTACTTTTACTGCTACAGACAGAACAGCCCGGTTTCTTTGCTGGATATTACAGACACTATATCCAGAAATAACGACAAGAAAAAGTTCATTGCAAGAGTTGCAACAGTGGTTTGTAGGGTAGGTTTTGCGAAGCACATTTTAAATGAAAAAGTAAGCAACGTTAAGAAATTTGTAATTTGTCGAAATGTGGATTCACAAAAAGATCTGTTTTAAATAAATATATAAATACACAAACCATACTGTAGCACGAAGACTTCCAGTCCTTTCAGGGCTACCAAGTTTGTAAGAACGGTTTTGATTCGGCACCCGTCGACAATACAAGTTTACTCAACCGTAATGATATACCGTGTGTCTCTGGCAATTGCTTTTCATAAAAATTCAAACTGCAAACAGAAGAACATCAGCTCAAGGACTGACATTAAGTGTGCTACGCTACAAGCTGAAAAAACGAGACAGCAGAATGTGTCTCATACACCAAGGCATAATGGTACGAAAGACGACAACAGCTGCTGGCCAGTCAACAAAAGTTTTGTGGTTGTATTTACTGTAACTTTTTGAATGGAGTTGCCATTGTATTCTGACACAAAGCTCTGGGATAAAACCGTGTATAAATCATAAATGGTGCTTATAAAACAAATGCACAAAATATTAGGGACAAATTCCAGTCCCTTGTATTTTGTATCTTTGCATCTGTTAAACAGTCATAACTAGTCTCTATGAAAAAGACACTGGACTTCTATGTATTATGCTTTGCCTATTATCTGCGTAGAAGGCCAGTGTTATAGACTTCTGTGGTTGAAAATAATAAGCAGGTCTGAAACCAGATAAGGTGCCAGTTCACCCCTGAATTTAGAGAATGAACTAATGGGAAACATTCATGCTAAAGCATTAGTGTTGATTGGGATTTCCCCAACTGACTGCTTGAAAAGTGAACTGATACATGTTACTGATAGAAGCATAATCTTCTAAATTCCCAATCTATGTTGGAGGTAAACCAGTGGCCCCGCAGATCACAGGAAAAAGAACACTAATACAGACTCAGCCGCTCTGCATGTTCCAGTGAAACAGCTAATGAAACACCCAGAGGGAGGTAAGCAAAACCCAAGTTTCCTCTAGTCTACATCTGATGCGTCATTGTCCGATAGATGGTAGTTTGAACCTTTGACCCGGATGTACTCAACCTGCCGTCCCTCATCCGAATCAGAGGCGCCGCAAGAGCAAAGGTGGTTTTCGAACAACGCTTCGATCTCCTCCAGACGGCGGGATTTGGTTTCTGGCAGGCAGCCATATGTGAAGACGAAACCCAGCAAGGCCATGCTGGAGTACAGGAAGAAAGCTCCTGAGAAGACAAAGCAAAAGAACACGCTGTCACCGAGGATAGCCACCCACAAAGATGAGAAACACAATAGCACAACTTCACACTTCTTATGAGAAATGATTTGCTTGTTCTCATTCACTGCCAGAAAAAGAAACACCGATGGTGACAACAGATCCCGCGGGCAGCTAATATTAGACCACGACTGCCCACGCACTTCTAGGGACGTGTGTGGTGAAGAATGAAAATGTTTTTGCAACACTGCTTTCACACTGCTGGTCACCCTACGATAAATGTGGAGTATAAGTAAAATGTCCCTGTCAATGTGGCCTTACAGCAGGATTAACGGGAAACAAATGTGACGAATAAGGGTTCATACAAAAGACTGACACAGGTTTAATGAGATTTTGTCGCAACTGTGGTCCGTATTTTCTTCTTGTCAACGCACAGTGACATTTTTAAGTTGCAGCCGAGTGCACTTTAAGATTTAACAAGACAACATCTTGTGTTTTCCCAGCTTTGACATTATTTGCCCCACTTTTAGTAAATGATTGCTATCAAGCAGATAAATTGGTGAATGACTCAGAATCGATAATTAATCCAGTGGATCTCAGGATGCCTCCACAATCACCCCTGATTGATTGATCTCCAACTCCGCCAAAGGTCAGCTCCTTCCTGTGTGAGGGGAAACCTGCTGTTGTGCTACACTGACTGAGGAGTTATGCAAGATGGGTGGAAGAAAGCATCACTTCAGGGTATCAGCAAGCTGTTCTGTCCTTATTGCTCTTAATGGGAACACAAAAATACCTCTTACGTGTAAAAAAAATAAAGGATAAAATCTTTCAAGGTTATTATTTCCTTACACACAGAAACTGACCATAGTAGGTGATGTACTGAGCCAGGTGGAGGAAGGTAAGAGACACCAGGATGTTGAAGGTCCAGTTGACCCCTGCTGCACAGGCGTTCCCTGTGCTCCTTGCCCAAAGAGGATAGATCTCAGAGTTGATGGTCCATGGCATTGGACCCATACCTGCGACAGACAAGTGAGAATGAGCCGTGGGACCATTTGATTAAGAGGTGGAGATGCGAGATGGATGGAGAATTGCACTATATTTTGTTTAAGTCTTGTCAGCAGCACTTCATACAACTTATTTCATTTTCTGACATGTAAAAAATTAAAAACTCAAATGTTCTATAGTCTGTATATTTCAAAATGATGTGAGACTACAATAGAAGAAAGGGAAGTGTAGATACTTTATAACAGCAGATCCCAACCCCCGGGCCACGGACCGCTACCAGGCCGTCAGTCGTTTGGTACCGGGCTGCGAGAGTTGAGGCTCGGGTGTGAAATTTATGGTTTTCAGGGTTTTTATCGTTAACTCGGTTTCCCTGGGTCTTTTCCCGTGTTGTAGTTGTGAGTCTTATTTTGAAAGAAATATTTACGCGTTACCATAGCGACCAGAGAGCATTAAGGGGCAGAGAGGAGGATGTTACTCTCAGTGTTGTTGGCGCATTTCAGGAAGACGCTGCTAATAAAGTTACACAATTACACGGTGAATTCTCGTTTATTATTATTATTATTTACAAAATACCACAGTTTTTGTCTTGGTCGTATCATTTTATTTTGTTGTATGTATCCACAACACCTCACCTCAGTCCGTGAAAATATTGTCTGACATTAAACCGGTCCGTGGAGCAAAAGGTTGGGGACTGCTGCTTTATAATACAGCCCACACCCCTGTCAGACCCTTGAATTCCAATCCAAGAAGACAAGGACAGGATACCACAAAGAGGAAATTTTGGTTGTCCTTTACTTTAAAATACCCCAAAGTTACTAATTAAATAAAAAATACATGAAGTTTGATTTGCGTCCTCTTTCTTCTCCCTAGACTCTCAATTAAGAAGAATTACATGGTAAATGTAGAAAAATTACATAATCAGTCGTGGGCTGTGTTATGAAGTGCTACCGTGCCTATAATAGAAACAAAGACGGTAGTTGAATTTGACAGAAGCAGAAAAGCTCTATCAATATGCAGCATCTACATACAAGTAAAAAGATATTTGATTTGATTTGCAGTCAGCTTCTGATTCCTTTTGTAGGTTGAGTAGTATTGACCAGGCAAATTTATGCAGGCTTTGGCTGCGTACAGGTAAACAGTCCATGTGGAAAATAAAATAAAAACATATACGCCAAAATGCAGTTTTATAACTACTGGCTCTTGTTTAGCTATATGATCTACCTGTTTATTTGCGTTTTAAAAACTGTATCTGCATTTCTGGACTCTAAACAATGCCCAGTACACCGACTAGGAGTTTAGACAGCAGCCAAATGGGTTGGTGCTTTGTTAGGATTATAATGGATCCTGTTAACTCTGGTAAGCACTCAGACAAACACATCTGCAGCTACAAGTCCAACACAGCGAGGTTTTGCTTTGGCAGAATATCAGAATATAGTATGCTTTGTCCCACACTGCATTTTCAGAATTCAAAAAAATTATGTTCAATTTATGGTTCTCTTTTTGTTATTGTTTGTTTTGTTTTCCCCAAAAGCATCCTGGTGTTGGATCTCATGGGGACTAAAACTAAGGTTCAGTCTCTCACCCGGCGCAAAGGCAGCCAAGTAGAACACCAGTCCCAGTAAAACCAACCAGGAGAAGGAGGTGGGGCAGTAGTTGTAGGCCCAGTAGGTCTGATCTCTCATCAGGGTAGAGTTGGAGCATCTATAAGAGGCATGCACATTTTAGTTAGTTAGACTTTACCAATCCTTCTTAAAACTGTGGGGGGGGAGGGGGGCAGTTAAAGGTGAGGTGTGTTATTTCACTGCATCCTAATGCACTTCCACATGCTCACTTTGCATCCTGTGACTCACCTGCCCCATGCTGCGTGCTCGGTGGAGGCCTTATTGACTGGCACGCAGGAGGAGGCGAGCAGCGCCGAGCCATTCTCACGGTAACAGAAGCCGCATCCAGGATCCAGCATGCACGGCTCGCACACCCTAACAGCAGATGCAACACGCATTAACTGTCATTGCTCTAAAGACAATCAATCAAACGGCAGCTTGTAATCACATTCTTTTACGTCTGCCTTTCCTCTATAGGATGCTGAGAAACTCCTTGTAAAAGTTCAATATGAATGTAAACGTACCTGCTGCTACTGGACAAGATGCAAATATAACAGAAAAACAGCTACCCACCCATCTAACTGAGGCACACATCTCTCCCCAAAATCAGGAAATGCATGAGACATTCGTCCCCACTGTGTGGGATTCACTATCATTACATTTCTTTTCCTATCCTGTTCCCAGCTTTGTTAATTTAAACTACATCCTATCACATTATCATGTTCTGCGGTCTGTTTCTTGATGAGCAGTCCTTATTTTTGAGTGTTTCAACTGAATAGCTTCACAAGGGTGCACTCATCTTTCCCCGTGCTATTTAATCAGGTTCGAGGTAGGTCATGAAATGCACACTCTGCTTGAGAGATCTATTTTTATTGTCCGTAGCTTCCAGGGAAGCTTTTCTCTAATTTCACGCTGAGGTTAAGGATGAAAATAACACCATGTATTCAAAAGTAACTATTGCAGGAGGGTGAGGAGAAAGATATAACCACTTAGCATTAGCTGCTTAGAAGTATCTGTAACACTGATATAGATATTGTTAAGTATTAGTAAAGCTAAAGCCCATTAAACATCTGTTTTTATAAAAAGAAAAAATCCCAGAGACATTAGCAGGTCAGGCTAGCTAGCCCAGCAGTAATGTAATGCTAGTGAAATAGTACCTTAGCACTCCTAAGGGTTTTTATTAGCGTTAGCTAGCATTGCAGGCTGGTTATGTCATAGATGGCAATTTCACCACTGTACTACTCATGGACTTCCCTTTTACCATGTGTGTAATGCAATGAGACAGTTCAGGAGACTAAGATGTATATTTTATACATATATTTTATACCATATTTGATATTTATCTGGTGACAAAAGTAAGCATAATGTAGATAGGTCCTAAAAGGGTCAAACCCTTTCCCAATAGAAAAGCAGGGAGCTCGTCTAGAAATCCCTATCAGTAAAATTCTCTATCTATGATAGCTCCCCTTTAACCTTAGTGCTTTCCATAAGGAGCAACCTTCACCCTTAAATTAGTGGACAACCCACTCCACCAAACGATAGCCAACTCAAGGTACGCAGTCAGTATAAATGACTAAGTTAAGACCAGGTGAGTCAAAAAAAAATATTTGTAAAACATAAAATATTTGCACAAATGTTATGTGTCCAGTGCGTAAAGGGCTTTAGCTCTCCTTAGTCAAACCCCAAAATAGCACGTTAAGAAAACATCTTTAAATGGGACATCTGAGCACCAAAGCACTTAAGAGGCTACTGGTGGTTCTGGTGCTCTGTTGATGCTGCTGTGGTCAGTGAAGGGATGCGTGTGGGTTCATGTGAAGCAAAGTGAATTCAGTAAAGCTTTTCCAGTGTGGTAAAAGCACTCATCTCTTCAAATTATCCCTGCGTTTATGTGGGTTATAGCACGCGGTCGCAGGACAGCGAGTGCATTAGGCATTGCCTGTCGTTGTGATGAAAGACTGCCGTTACACATGAGCTTCATCTCGTGTCTGTGTAAGTGAGAGTAAATTGCAACACGGAGGCATCTGATGACTGTTTCATTCGGAAACAAACTCTGGCTCACCGCCTGCCTTCTGCTGCTGCTGGGGACAGTCGAGTGAAATGGGAGTGACAGATGTTAGATGATGAATTGCGTAACTGTTAAAATCATTTAATTACATTTATTATGTGAAATAATTGACCACAATTTCTAACACCTATGCTGGCACTAATTTTGACCTCTGAGTACTCAGAGAAATCTAGATCTGTATTAACGTATGTGTAAAAACCTGCAAGAACTTCACCACAAAAATTATTTTAGGAGGGTTTTATTCTCTTTCCACCACTTAGTGTCCTCTGCTCTAAAACTGCAAAATACTAAGTGCCTTTACTAAGAACAGAAGTGCTCCAAGGTCAACAGTAGCTTCCTCATGCCAGCACCCCCATTTTCGGTTCTTGTTTACCATTTTAAGCTATGCTACAATACCAAATGTACCGCTTTGTGTTTTCCTCCAACTTTCTGCAGAGTGCGACACCTTAATACAAACACAGAAATCTGTATTTTCCTTCAAATGTGCTAGATGATCAGACGGAGTAATTCAGAGGGACTCGGAGGTCTAAAGTCATACCCACTCCTCACATCCTGAAGGGAAATAACAACCCTCATTACTAGGTTTGATAGTGTAGCTGGATTTCTTTCCACCATGTACGTACATGTGGGTCTCAGTATGTCTTTTGGTCCTGGAGAAAGCTACTCTAGTGGTTATACCCCAGAACTTGGTTGCAAGCCATAAAAATGCAATATCCAGTTGGAAAAAAACACCAGGTGATTTACGTTCAGTTGAGATCAAAATGAAGGGCACGTTTGAAGACTGGTGTGCTCCGATGCATGGGTACTTCTGTATTGATATGGTAATGGAAGCTGAGCACTTATGGTTTGGAACGTCAACATGTTCCAATTCATAAGTGCTGGCAAAACAGAGGCTCTCAGGGTCTCAGTGCCTCTGAATAGGATGGACATGTCTGAACAAGAGGAGAGAGGAGGGAATGCGTCTCCCCAGCCATCTCTTCCATCGGGGATTGAGGAGTTGGCCAGGGAGAGAAAGATCTGGGTATCTCTGCCTACACTTCTCCCATAACCTGAAATGGACGAATGGATTCATGCATGGGTAGATAGGAAGAAGGAATAATTGAGCCTTGGCGCCTCTGTAATCCAGGTCCTTTTGCATGCTTCAGTTTTAAGGACTTCTTATTGACATCAAGCATCAATGTGATATTAAGGTGCTTTCAGTCCCATTGCCACGGGTGTAAAATCAACCTAGCCATGCAGTCTGCCTTTACTAACAAAAAGCTCAACGAATCTGTGCATGGTGCTGTAATAGTTTGCCACCGTTGAAACAAGTCAGATTTTAACATTTTTCCCTCTTTGTTCTTCCATAATAAACTGTAAGTGGTATTATTGCAAAGTAGAAGCATTTAGGAACCACAGCAGTTCCTGACTGTGCATAATTACAGAGCGAGTCACCAAATGCTGAGGCTCATAGTATAAGTCACCACTGATTTGCTAACTCAATAACTGCAGAAATCCAAACCTCATCTGGCATCAACATCAGCACAAAAACGGTGCACTGGGAGCTTCAGCCATGCTGTTTGCTTTGATGTCCATTTAATGTCAATTTCATACTGGAATGAAAATCCCTGTTGTTATCATAATCCCATAATAAAGTAAATCTCAATTCCACAGTTTACTGTAATTGTTACTGAGTAATTACACCATAGATTAGTGTTTTAACGTGTTCCCTAAAAGACTTGCTTTTGATACCACCGTATTAAATCTGGGTAAATGGTCTTTATTGCTCAAATGGTGTTTTTTTAACACTCTGCAGCTAAAATGGTGAACGGTGGAGCAATCAGAATAACTGCAGAAAAGAAAAGACAACCTGTTGTTGGAGCAGGCTAAGAGAACTTAACACTGATAGATTCTGTTGATGTAATAATAACACATACTGTAAGATACATCTGAAACGCCACAGGCCTGTAGCTAAAGTACTCACTGGTACTTGGAGCAGGTAGAGTTGGCCATGGCGGGGTCTAATGGGTGGTAGGTGACAGGGGGACTGTGCTGTGCAGACATTAAGAAACCGATGGCCAACAGACTCAAACTGAAACACGTGCCTGTGAAAAAATATAATAATTAAATAACGCACAGAGCGCACAAAAACAACTTTTAATATTTTTTGTTGATTTGGACAGCTCAAGTCTCCTCCTCCTTTAGCCTTACCTATGATGCTGCCTAGGGTGAGCTTCCTACGCCCCACTCTCTCCACCAGCCACACTCCCAGCAGAGTAAACAGGAAGTTGGTGAGGGTGGTGAGTCCAGCCAGCCAGATTGCCAACCTGTCATCGCGCACTCCTGACATCTGCAGGATGGTGGCACTGTAGTACCTATGTGACATGAGAGAAAAAAGAAAAAGCAAAGTTAAGAGAATAATAATAAGAAAAAAGAAGCATAAAAATAGGTCAAGAGTATCCTTCTTGTCTATCAACACAGACAGATTGGCAACACATTGCAGTCAGTCTTAGTTAGTCTGTGCCTATGAGTCCAACTTGTCCGTGACATGTGTCTTTGCAGCAGACTTGACTTACCTGACTGCCAACTGGTTGTATTTTGGCTATATTTCTGCATATAAACAAGTTTGCAGTTAAATCATTGTCCTAAAGCAACTATTTGTGGAGGAATTTCTGAATTTGTGCCAGGATTTAAAAGTTAAACCACTTTATGAAAATACACATTTCAAACTGCCTTACATTCTCTGGGTTTGAATACAGTTGGAAACATTCTGGATAATGTTAGTGTGCAGAGTCAACAAAACACAAGAACGGCATATTCATTTTTCAAGAGTAACTGTTATTACACTTGTTATTACACTATTATTACACATATTACACTTCAGTTAAATACATTTCAATTTTATTTATAAAGTATCAAATCACTACAGTTGCCTCAAGGCGTATTGTGTAAGGCAAAAACCCTACAAAGTATTTCAAGTACTGTATAATTGTATTTGGAGAAATGTTAAGCAGTCTCAGCACAATATTATGGCTATATTAAAGTATAAATATCAAACACATATACAAAACTGCAATCAATCTTTAAGTCAACAAGCCAATCACAGCCTCTCTTCGTAAGAGCAATTCACTCATCCACCAACCCCAGTCTCTCTACTTGAGCACCAGTCGCTCCACTAGAGACAGCTAGCGATCAGTTATAAATAGGCTCTCTCTTCATCTCTCATATAATATAATTATACTTGCAACTCTGGCACCATGTTGCTCCACGTGTGCAGATTAACAGCAATCATCATCAACAAGGCTCTAAGCAGGCTGCGGTCAACAATACAGACACCTGCACAGAGTCCATTTCCTGTTTCAACTTTGCTACTTTGTAACTAAGAAAGATGAGTGAAAAAAACCAAAAGGACATGCATGCAGAAAACGATGAAACAAAATGCACACACCTGCAGGGACTCTTTAAAGTAAACACCTCCAGGCAGTCTGTTTAAAGTATAGCCATTGAAACCATGCGCTCATTGGCAGAAAACACATCATTACCCAAAATGAACACAACGCGTGCAAGCACATTCAATAGATAGGGACTCAGCAACCTTGAGAGAATGCAACACAAATACAAAGAAGGTAAGACTCATTAAGAAAAAGCTCAAATAAATCTACAGCATTGTCTGCCTGCCTGTGTCTCTAAAGGCAGCTCAGAATTAGCATTCTGCTTTTCATCTCTTCAAAAGCATCGTTATCTCTCTCTTGTTCTCTCTCTCTCATGTTCTTGGCTCTCTCTCTCTCTCTCTCCCAAAACAAAGACATTCATTTGAGGGATTTGCATAATAACACTTTACTTTTTCTGCCATGGTATCCACTCAGACAGAACGAGAACAGAAAAGGAAATGAGATGGTGTGAAACTCGGGTTTAAAAGCATGACCTACAGTCTTATAAGGTGCATGAGGTGATAAATGTTTTTGATGGAATTATTAGGCTTCTGCAGACTGAGATATATGCCGGCAAAAATGCACGTGCTTAATGGACACACACTCACACACACGCGAGAAATGAGTCGGTTTTGGAGCAGCAGCAGGAGTAAAAGCACTATTTCTGTTCTCAGCAGTACAGCCCGCTGTGCTCCATCTCCAGCCCTGCATCTTCCTGATTACAGCACAGACACATGCACACACACGCGCACACATTGTGTTCTGACTTAAAAAGTACTGTGAATAACAGCCTCCAGAAACAAAATGATCATTTTTTGACCACAGTGCCAAGAAGCACGGCCTGTGTTAAATGTTAAAAGCATCTCCGAACTGGCATTTCAGGCTTTTAAAAGCCCCAAAGAGACGCTCGAGAGGCAAACATGGCCATCGGATTTCTAAAAGACATTGTTATCCATCATCAAGTGCTACAGTGTCATTCTAAGGTGTCATGATGAAATCTCAATGAAAAAAAAAGAAGAAATAAGTGGGGAACATAATATATAAAGAACTACTCATCTATAAGTTGATAAATCAACTTTAACCCTGTAAGACCCAACCCATCAAAAAATAGCCAGAAAATTTAGATTTTTTGGAACTGAGATGTTTATTAACTCTTATAACAAAATCCACTTTTTTTGCTATATCATGTTGTGTATGATATATTTCTATTATATATGTATTATATATTTTTTGTATCGCATTTGATACATTGGGTTTTTTGTCAACTTTTTGTCAACTACAATGTTAATTTTAGACAAAAAAAGAGTTTTGTCCATAACATTTTGAAATTATGGCAAGTACTGATCATGTTGATGAGATAGAGGTCTCAGAGACTCATATATCAAATATGATACAGAGGGCATTATAGGGCAAAAAAAAAATTCAAAATCGTGTTTTTACTTTTATTTATTTATGTGAGTGTCTACACTACAGCCACCTTTAACACACAGCGGAGGCTCTGTCGTGTTTTGGGGCGGCATTTCAGCCAGTGGTGTTGGAGCTCTTGTCAAAACTGATTTATAAATTATAAAGACAGACTAGTACCATCAGGTTTTGATCCACAATGCAATACCATCTGGAAAGCAACTGACTGCATACTTTTTCAGCGTGACAATGATCCTGTCATGGCTGTAAAAGCATACCCTGAGAAAAACAAACAATGGAACACTAACAATCATGGACTGGCCTCCCCAGAGCCCGGACATCAACATTACTTACAACATTACTTGTAGGTATTTCAATACATTCTTATATTTCCCATTTTTCCAGCAATCTTTAAAAAAAGAAAAAAAGAAAAGAGGTGTGGCTCAAGACATGCAGTTATTGGGGTTAGGTTCATCAGTAATTCTAAATTGCCCATAGGTGTGAATGGTTGTGTGTCTCTCTGTGTTAGCCCTGCGCCAGACTGGTGACCTGACCAGGATGTACCCAACCTCTCAACCTATGATAAATGGGATAGGCTCCAGTCCCCCCACCACCCTAATAAGAGTAAACAAAAACATTTGAATGGATGGTAGTTACTGAAGTATCTAATTTTGAAATGAATGTCTTTCCACAGCAATACATCTATAACCGGAAAGAAAAGGAAAACAAAGAATATTTTATTTTTCCTTCTGTATATTTGCTCACCTGCAAATAGCAGGCTGCTTATGACAGCGCTCGAGCAGGAGACAGACTGATACTCTGGTATAAGAGATCAATGTACACAGAAGTGAAGCAGCTCAGTATTCCCATGGACATTCCTCACTGGACGACATGGTGTCACAGTGAGAGCACTGTAGTGCAGGATGTTGGGATGTAATGTTCTTCGGTTAATTTCTGGGTATTACCTTATGTGTATGAACCGCGTGGTTCCAAATTAAGCCAGTCTGTTTATTTGATAATGAAATCAATTTGTAGTGTCATGGTTAAGTGTAAATATTTGTATTATATATGTGTTGTTTCTTGGCATTTTCCCCCTTTATGATATCAGGGAAATCTGTTACTTCTCATAGCTTTTCTGTAGCGCTACAAACCTGAAGGGTTTCAGGTGTCACTTCTCATACAAAGTGACACCTCTCAGTCTAAAACACCCACTAGTTGTCGGCTATTAGCACACATCACAGAGCGACAGGAAAGACTCCATGTAGGGTTTGAATGAAACAGCAGTCTGAGGTAATTTCAGAGGGCTGTTTCATAAAATCTCTGTGCTTTCATTTCTGTTAACAATCAGAGCAGTCTTTGAGAGAAAAACTTCAAAGCACCTGTAAGAGCTGAGCTAGTGGAAACAGGCTATAGCGTAGTCACAGGAGAGTCAGGACCCCATCTTTTAGTGTCCTGTAATTATTACATCATCTGCAAACTTTCGAAACTATGCAGCCATTCTGTGCCATAAAAGTCTCTCAATTAAAGACACAGTTTAGAAGCAAAGCACAAAAAGTGGTGCTGGAAAAAGCTACAGTAGGAAACTTTTAATTAGTAAGATCTGCTAAGAGAATTTTCTGTTTCCAGGCCCTCAGTGTTTTTGCAACACGAGGGCAGTGCAGTGGTTTCTATTTTTTAGCTTCGTTAAACATTATTAGTCTTTTTTTCGTGCAACTAAAGAATGGGAATGATTTTATGATCGATTCCCTGTGTCCAAATACTGTAAATAATGCATTACAGCTGCTGGTTTCAAACATTTCCCTCGCTCCTAAAATAGATGTATGTAGTGTTACCATGGCCTAGAGTATCCATGCATTATGTCTGTAAGTGTGCTAAGGGGTGGTGTGTTTGTATATGTGTTGATGAGGTGGGCATGGTGGAATATCTGTGGTGTGGTTGTGGCTGGTTGGTCTGGGTAAAACAGCAAAACAAAACAGTATTTTCAGGCCCAGTCTGACCCTGCTGTGGTGTGAAGTGTTGGCGTAAAGCACATAGCAGAAGGTGTGATCTGGCCCTGACCTGTCTGAAAATGGAAACATGGATTAACACACCTTTTAAAAATGAATACAAGTGTTTCTTTTTTTAAAACAACAGACAAAAACTGTCTCACTCTTGAATTCGATGGCTCCCTACTGATCCTGGCACATTTGACATGGGTGGTGATGAGAGGACACCTCTTACTCATGCTTGACATTTACTGTCACCTTACAGGATTCTCTTGGAGGTCTTCTTAAAGTGCCATGCTGGTAGCTTTTAGTGTTTAAGCCTATTAAGTACAAGTCAGTTATACCTTTCTACAAAATATCCCAAAAGTTTTGAAGACATGCGTATGTTCCAGAGAATTATAGAGTTTAATATTAATTGTGCAGTTTGCTCCTGACGTCGAGAGCATGGGCAAGGGATGGACAGTTGATTTTCTCAAATGGCCACCATAAGAAACTGGGACTGTTGTGGAGGGCCACAACAATAAACAATAAGCTACAGTTCCTTTTGTGGCCCAT